AGGGCAGGTCAGCCAGTAATCTTTTTCATCTGCCATTCTTCGTACTGACTGGAGTATCTGTTCATGAACCCTAAACCCCAAACCCTTAACCCTAAACCCGAAGCCCTAAGCCCTTAACCCTAAACCCTAAATCCTAAGCCCTAAGCCCTCAACCCTAAACCCTTAACCCTAAACCCTGAGCCCTTAACCCTTAACCCTAAACCCTAAGCCCTTAACCCTAAACCCTTAACCCCTTTTGGCTCCGCAAGCCGCAGCAATTGGCTTTTTACGGCTGTCCATGTTACATCAGACTGACATATGGAATACATCAGGTTTAGAGTTTTAGGGTTTAGGGCTTAGGGTTTAGAGTATAGAGATTACCCTGAACCCGCCATAATAAAAACCTAGACCCTAAATCCTAAACCGGGATTTGGTTTCTTCTGTGGGGCTTCGTATCAATGATCATCTTGCGTTTTTAGGGAATGTCATACATGTGTAAGTACATTTGCAAGAAATGTATATACCTACGTTGTCGTTTTACAAGTTCGGGATCGTTCGTACCAACGGCCTCAGGGGGGGAGTGTAGGTGTTGAGGCTTCGGACTTCCGGGTCTAGGGTTTAGTTCGGAGTACAGGATTTGGGGTTTTAGGATCAGTCAACCCCAAACCCTGAACCTTAGACCCTCTGAGCCCCGAAGCCCCCAAACTCTGAAACTTGAAAATCTTATGGCCCGCTTAAACTGATAGATTTCTGCAATATTATACCATGATCCCCATCTATCCCATATGCATTGGCCCTAAACCCTGAGCCAAGACCCTAAACTCCAAACCCTAACTAAACGCTAAACCCGAATCCCTAAACCCAAATCCTAATCCCTAGACCCTAAATCCTAAACCATAAACCCTAAACAATAATCCATAGACCCTAAACCCTAGACCTCAAACCCTAATCCCTAGACCCGAAACCTTTTCTATTTTCATGTCCATTATCCCAATACATCCCCAATGAAGCCCCAATTTAAGCCCTAAAACCTAAACCCTAATCCCTAGACCCTAAACCTTAAACCCTAAACCCCTAATGTTCCCTAAACCCAACATAAACTAAACCTTAAACCCTTAAACCCTCTAAACCCTCGACCCTAAACCCACCCTAAGCGCTTTCCGTTCCCAATCCAAGTGGCTGCAATCTTCGCGCTGCCACCTGCCGAGAGCGCGTCAGAGTTCTGGACCTTGGCTTTGCTCCGAATCTACGCGGTTTCAGGGTCTCAAAGGTACTGGAGAATCAGATGGAAAATACAATGGAAAATGAGATGGAAACTAGGGAATATGTAGGGATTATTAAGGGTTATATATATATATATATGTAGAGGTGTCGTTTAGGGTTTAAAGGGTTTAGGGATTAGGGGCCTAAATAATTACCACTAGTATATAGGGTTATATAGGGTTATATAGGGTTATAATGGGTTATATAAGGTTATATAGGGTTATAGAAGGTTATATAGGGTTTGGGGGTTTAGCGTTTTAGGGGTTTAGGGTTTTAGGGTCAGGGTTTTAGAGTTTAGGGTTTAGGGCTTTAGGGTTTTAGTGTTTTAGGGTTTTAGGGTTTTGGGTTTGGGATTGGTTTATGGTTTAAGGTTGGTTTATGGTGGGTTTAGGGTTTAGGGCTTTAGGGTTTTGGATTTAGGGTCTAAGGTTT